ACTCAGCTTTGCCATCGTTGGGATGCCCCTACCCTAGATGTGTTCGCCACACAGCACAACACCAAATGCGACCACTACTGCCCCAGAGCAGGAAAGGAACTAAACTCTGTAGGAGTTTCATGGTTGGGTTTCATGGTCAATTGGGAATCCAAACTCCTCTCCCTCTTCCCTCCCATCCCTCTAATCCAGATAACAATAATCTGACTCCGACAATTCTGCTCCAACGCCATCCTCATAGCTCCATGGTGGCCTCATCAGCCTTGTTCCCCCAGCTCAGAACAATGTTGATCGACATACTTCTGCTACTTCTGCTGACCGAGGACAAGCTCAGAACAATGTTGATCGACATACTTCGGCTCTCCCTCCTCCCTCATCTGCTGACTGAGGACGAGGACAAGGTCTTTCACCAAGATGTCAAGTCCCTTCATCTAACAGTGTGGAGGATTCACTTTCTATAACGGCTGTTCTAGACAAGGCCAGGAAACCCCCCACTCAACTCTTGTACTCTTACAAATGTAGAAACTTTTCCACCTTTGCTGCTTCCAAAGGACTCTACAACACCAGTCTCCCTAGGCACTCTTCTTATCTTTCTTCTCCACCTTTTTCACCTTGAACTCTTGCATTCCACCTTGAAGGTGTATATGTCTGCTATCGTACCACAGCAGCCACCAGGCTCGGATTCTTCTTGGCTCTTCTCCCACCCTACTTTAAACAGATTTTTAAAAGGACCCCACAACAGTCGTCATCCTCAAAGACCAATGGTCCCTCCAAATCGTCCTCCACGCTCTTACTCGTCCTCCCTTTGAACTTCTAGCCACTACTAATTTTAAACTTCTCTCACTTAAGAGTTTCTTTCTTGGTGCCATTACGTCTGCTAGAAGAGCCAGTGAGCTGGCAGCTCTCAGAGCTGACACACTATATCTGCAATTCCACCCTGACAAAGTCACCTTGTATCCAGATGTTTCCTTCCTACCTAAGGTCATTTCAGACTTCCACCTCAATCACCCTCTTGTCCTCCCTTCTCTTTTTCCCTTTCCAACATCAGACCTAGAGCGCATGCCTCATACTCTGGATGTCAGACGCTCCCTGGCCTTTTACATTTCCAGAAGAAATATTTCCCAAAAGTCTCCTCATCTGTTCCTCTGCTATCATGGTTCACGCAAGGGCTTGAAATATTTCCCAAAAGTCTCCTCATCTGTCTCTGCTATCATGGTCCACCAAGGGCTCTCCAGCTTCATCACAAACTCTCTCCAGATGGATAGTTCAGTCTCTTGCCTTGTCCTATGAACTAATGGGCAAACCACCACCAGATACTATTAAAGCTCATTCCACCATGGCTGTCTCCACCTCTACCGCTTTTCTTCGCGGTATAAACATCTCTAATATTTGTCACTCATTATCGGCTGGATGTCAGAGCTAAGAATGAAGCTAGCTTCGGCAGGGCTGTTCTTTCTTCCATTTTGATGTGACAGCCCACCAACCGGTAAGTGAGCTTGCTAGTCACCCATTCATGTGCATTCACATGGACCACGAAGAAGAAAGGTTACTTACCTGTAACCATGGTTCTTTGAGTGGTCCTCTGTGAATCCACACATCCCACCCATCCTCCCCTCTGTCACTTGGTCATCTCTGCCTTTCTGACAGTGGCAAACTTTTTGGGAACTAAGGGGACTTCATGCGGGCGGAGCATGCACTCCACGGGGGGGAACGTCCCACTAATCACATGTCTTTAAGCTCTAGAAACTTCCGAGAGGTCCTGCACAGGCACAGAATAACCCATTCGTGTGGATTCACCAAGGACCACTCGAAGAACCATGGTTACAGGTAAGTAACTTTTCTTTCCTCCATTTGTTTCCAGTTAAACTACATTGTATTACCAAAAGCAATGGTGCAACATAGACAGTAGGTTGCTTTGGGGATTATCTCTGTTGCTTGGAGGATCTTCGAAGAACCATTCTGTCACTTGCCACTGTCACTTGCCACTGGAAGGAGTTTTTCATTGATAGGCTGATGGAGGTTAGTGAAAAGCAAGCATACTACACAGAACAACTACACAGAGACACAAAAAAAGAGGGCTTTGTTATTCAGAATTCACAGGACTACTTAACAGAGCAGGAAGGAAGCTGCCTTGCTGCTAGGAGAGAGATGTCTGCTTCTGTCTGTGGTATCTTTGGGGTTTCTCCATCCCCACCACTTTTGAGTTCCCCTTCCATCTTCTGACAACAGAAAGCAGCTACCAGGAAAACTCATCAGTATCCCATTGGGGTAATAATCCTTTTGTTTTTACTGGACAGGAATAAAATGCTATAAATACGACATTCAGCAAGCCACCCCCTGCTTTGCCCACATCTGGGAAATTGGCCAGACCTCACCAGAACAGCTTTCATGAGACCTGCTGATATTCCATTGAGCAGTGATAAGCTGCATCCCTGGACTTGATTAGTTGTTCAGTCTTTTATAAGCAGGAAACACTAAGCCCAACAGTATTTGACTCTATAGAAAGATAAGTTTTGTAGTCACTGGTGCAGGTTGTCTTCCAATCACACAAAAGCCAGAACAAAGGCCCCTTCATATTTCTACTGAGTCATGACAGTAAGTGAATGATCATCACCTCAGGTTCCTAATTCTGAGAAAGGGAGCCTTGATTACCTAAACAGATGGCAGCAAGTGAGATAGGGTTGCCAATAGCAGAAGGCAAACCAGTATATTAACACTTTGTACATTTGAAACCACTGTTTCATCTCCATAGTCATTCCCAAAGGGTTTCTTCTGGTCATGTAGGTGGAAATTGACCCAGTATATATTTTCTTTACAAAGGGTGCCTTGATGGTAGCCTCTAAATGTTAAATAAGGTTTCCCTGTCAAAAGATAACCTGTGAAGAAATGAACAACCAGATCTTGTAACTAAGTCAAGTAAATCTTTCAGCTTTAAAAGATACCTTCTAGAGATAGTGTTGAATACTTGCCTTATACCTAAGATAGCTTATACCTTAATGAATTATTCTTAATGTGATGTATGCCAAGTGTTTAGTGCAGTATATGGAATGTGCAGCCATCCAGCTGTTAAGACTTAATGCCCACCATCCTTTAAAATTGAATGCATTACCCGTTCAGGAGGGCACCCTTATTCTGCACCCTATCATTTATTTATTTACTTATTTGTTGCATTCATGTCCCTACATTGTTCTGATGAGCTCAAGACACTATACACAGCTCTCTTTATCCCATATTTTATTCTCAGCAACTCTATGAGGCACACTAGTCCAAGAGATTCTGATTGGCCCCAAGCACATATTTGAACCCATCTTTTTGAATTCTAGTCCAGCACTCAAACCATTAAATCACATTGGCTCTTTCAGTAGTTGAAATGGGATGTCTAATTTAAATTTACAGTTGTCCACATTTAAGTTTAATAATTGTTTGACATGTGAAAAAGTGAAGGACAGAAACATTAAAGGTTTTCTCAGGGTACTCTAATCCCAGACATTTTAGAAATCCAAGGCTCTCCTTGCTTTCTTCTAATTCAAAAAGGCCATTGATTTCCAAACTTATTTTGCTGCACCCCTTTACACTTGTAGGTCTTCCAGTGGATATCCACCCCTTGGCTTGACATTTTGTTCAAGAAGTCCAAACCAGCAGCACTTTGGTAGAGAAAAACTCCATGTTCGCCCATTTTAGGAAACCAGTCCTTTTGCTGGTCTGTAATCTTTGTATACTTAACTGTTTTTAGCATTTGAATATTGTATTTTCAATTATGTAAGCCACCTTGGGTCCTTTTTAAGGAGAAAGGTGGGATAAAAATATTCTTAAAAATAAATACACCCCTGTTTACTTTTGGCTTCCAGAGCTTGGAGAAATGGACGAACCTCTTCTTACAAAAGATTTCAGAGGCAGACAAACTCCAAAACTCAAATTCAGACATAAGGATAATATTTGTGTTTGACAAATTTTTGGCATGAAATTTTGCCCAAGCTTTTAAGGTCAGTACCCCTTCCCAAGGCCTGGTGCTACAAAAGGCCGTGCAGAGGGAAAGATGTGGCATGGAAAAGACCAAGATGTTGGCTTTCTGTAAAGACTGCCTTTCCTTACTCCTCCCCCAGGCATATTTTTTATTGGATGCCTGAGTAAAGCTTGTGTAAAGTTTTGTAGCTCTTTTTGAAAGCTGGTGTGCTAAAAGTTATCCTGACATACAACTTGTTATCTTTCAACCGCCTTACTACAAGAAGCGGAAACACAGGAAATTGCCCTGCAGAGTGTGACTCTTGGATCATTTGAGTTCGGAAACACAGGAAATTGCCCTGCAGAGTGACTCTTGGATCATTTGAGCAATGTGTTCAGAAACTGGCAGTATTGCTCTACCATTGAGAGAAGGGGTCTTTCTCACCCCAAATGGAAAGGCACAACCTGAATCCAGAACCTTTCCCTCTGCTGTAACCTGTCTCATAGCTTTACTTTTACCGTTACATCTATACACTCATATACAGTGTATTGCAGAAGTGAGTATTTCCCTCTGCTGTAACCTGTCTCATAGCTTTACTTTTACCGTACATCTATACACTCATATACAGTACAGTGTATTGCAGAAGTGAGTACAACCCATCAGATTTCATAAATATTTTAGTATATCTTTTCATGTGACAACACTGAAGAAATGACACTCGGCTACAATGTAAAGCCGTGAGTATACAGCTTGTACGACAGTGTCAATGTGCTGGACCCTTCAAAATAACGCAACACACAGCCATTAATAGGCTGCTTTGGAGATCACTAACGCAGAAGGTCGCCATAAATCGGAAGCGGTTTGACGGGACAGGAGAGCAACAAAAACTCTCTTGCAGGAAAAGGCCCCTTTCCACTGCCATCTCGAGGAGGAGGACGGTCCCTTCCCGGTTCCTCCTTGGAGCGACGGCGTCGCTTCGCGACACACCCAGGCGCGTCCCCGCCCATGGAGGGAAGGCTCTGGGCGGTGCGGCCGGCCGGGGCAGAGGCGGGCTTGTTAACCCAGCCGGGAAGGGAGGAGGAGCAGCGGCAAGGCGCGTCTGGGCCTCTCCGCTTCGTTCCGTGTCGGTATGGCCGCCTTCGTCGACCTGGAGAGCTTCGTGGATGAAATTAAGCCGTCGATTTGTACCAACCACTTCTTGTTCAGTGAGTAAAGAGAGATCCTGACTGTCTGGAAATCGTTCCGACGGGCGACTGTTTTGGGGGTGGGAAAGGAAGGCGCCCTTTGGGATGTGCTGAGCTACACTTGCGTCTGGAGCATTTGGGGTCAGCGGACGAGGAGAGGAGGAGGTCTCGATTACCAGGGGGGGTTGCTAGATCGGGGCTTTTCCCCCCGATTTGGTTTCTGCCCGTGAAGGCAGGAAGCACGTGGCAGGCACCGCACCGCCTCCCGACCTCCTGGGTTTGGAAGCGCGTGTGTTTCCACGTGGCTCAGCTGGTTCGGTCGAAGAGAAGGAGCGAGGGGGGGGGATATGCCTTGCCCTGGAGGTTTATTTTACTTTGCTCGTCAGATCGGGCTCGCTTCTTAAATCGACAACCTGCGAGACGCTTCTTGAACCTAAACGCGGGGATCCTCCTTTAGGCCAAAACGAGTCTCGCCGATCACCACGTGGAACTTAACCGGAGTAAACGTACCTTGTATCGCCTGTTAACCCGTATTTCTCGTCCAAGGATAGTTGGAAAACTGATACGATGCTTCGGTTGTTAGAGGGTGGAACCGACAGAGGGTAGTTTATTTTTTTGGAATTTAGTTCTGCCTTTTCGGCCCAGTTTGCCGTATTGAAGCCAATGTGTGTGGGAGAGAAGTCGGGACTTATTCTAAAAGGGGAAGCTTTTTCTTTGAGACGGTAGCAAATTCCTGTAGATGAAGAGATTGCCTCAAAGTTTTTTTAGCCACTCAGGCGCAAGTAGATAAAACTTTTGGAATGGGGAATATTAGCAACCTACTAAAGCAACTTTTAAGTCTCCAGATACATATGTCTTGATCAGAATGTAACTGGCTTTTGATATTAATTCTGTAAAGCGAGCCAGTATTGTGAATCTACTGGACTGAGATCAGGGATATCCAGGTTCTGGTTCTCACCCAACCACCAAACTCACCAAGTGACCTTAGCTGATCCCTCTTTTTCTGAGCCTGACCTACCTCACGGGGTTGTTGTTCGGATAAATAGTGGAGAAGGAGAAGCATGTACACCACTTTGAGCTCACTGGAAGAAACACAGCCCTAAAAGGCTAAAGTTTTTCTGGCTTGAAAAGAAACGCTTGACTCAGGGTGGTTCCCATCTTCGCAGTAGAAGATGTGGAGACTGGCCATACTGGCCTGATTCTGGAACTTGTAGAGGAGAGAGAACTTTCCAAGCTCCTGAGATATGAAATTCAGATTTAATTTGGCCAGGATGCCTCAGCTGTTGCCCACATGCATATTTCTAGGGTTTTTATGGGTGTGGCTCTATCAATAGGGAAGAAGGCCATGCAATAGTCATTGAAAAAGAAAATCCCATTTAGTGGTAGTACATCTTTGCTTCATTCATTTCTACAATCAGTTGCCATGCATGTTTGTTCCAGGATGTGAGCTGAACAGCAGTGCCCGATCCTACACTTTTGAAGTCTGTGAAGAGGATGAGACTGACCATTTCCTAGCTTTGGATATGGTAAGAGAGTATTTATTTTTCTTGCAGTGGGGGTAGTCAGGTTGGGCAGCCTCTGGGTCCTTTAATAAGGTCTTATGTGTAACATCTTGCTCGGTTGCCAGAGGGGACTGGGAGTGAAATATAGGCAAGTGAGATTTCAGATGGCGAAGAGATGGATCGTGTCATCCTTCTGATAGCTCACTTTTCCCATGGCCTAGTTGTGGAGGAAGGAGAGCCTTTCCCCCTCTGTAGCTACTGATGCTACTGCTGTAGCATCTCTGGGGCTTGCAGAGATGGGATAGCCCATTTAGTTTGTTCTTTCCTTTGAAATCTCTTGTTAAGAAATGAAGTAGCATGGATGGCTGCTAGAGGAAGTAGAATGCTGTTGCCCCAAAAATCCAAGCTTGAAATGATCCTTCCCAATTTAGAGAGAAAGATGGGCTAGGTAGAGAGCCTGTGGGGTTGGTGAGAAAGGACATGTTACTTTTTTTGGATTGTAGTTCTTGGAATCCTCCAAGGGACATGGAGAGAGTGGTCCTGGCTGGAGAGATTCAGGCTTTGCAGTTCAAAATAGGAATTCATCCAACCTGTGATCCTTCACAGGACCCAAAGGTATCCTACAAGGCCACAGTTGCTCTTCCAGGCCTTGTGGAATTCCTTATCCAGGCTGAAACCAAAGCTTGGAGATTTAAAGATGAAATCCCATCTCTGGGAGTGCCCATAAGCAACTGGCTTGACACTGTGAAGAATTAAGTCTTTGCCTCTTCTTATGTTCTGATCCTGCATCACACAAGAGAGATTTCGCCCAACACCCACAATCTGCCTTGGAGAAAATGTTGAGGGGGAAGCTACAAGCTACCACCACTCCTTCTGCCATTGATAGAAACACTTCCATTGGTGGAAGGCCTGAACAGGATCCCATCCTTAGGACATTTGTGCTGCTGGTTTTGAAGAGGGGCCTCTGTCGAAGAAGACCTTGTTCCTTTATCTTCAGCTTACACATGTTACTGGCATGCTCTTGTGCTTTTTTCTCCCCTGCTTCCAACTTTCTTTGTATGAGGGTTTTAGCAGTGGAACCTGGGAAAGTGTATTCTTTTTTTTTCCTTAAGAGGGTGCTTAGTATCCAAGGTTTTTTTTTATCTTCAAGGTTTGCCTGTCAGAAGGTGCAAAGGATGAATGCAACATTGTGGAGCTTATCGGGCGTGACTATCAAAACAAGGAGATCACTGTGCCAGTGGCCAATCTGAAGTTGTCATGCCAGCCCTCGGTAAAACAATCGGCTGAGTTGTGAGTGGGGTGCTGAGGTGCTTGGGAAGAAAACGGAGCTATGTGGAGGTTACAAGAACTGGCAGGAAAATCAAGAAGAGGTTCTTGTGGAATGTTTGGCTTATGGCTGTCTTTGTAATACCCACAACACAATTTTTTGTGCAGTTGTGAATCCTATTCTTTGGTGTATGCTCTGTGATCTAGAGAGGGAGTTTTTGTTCATGGGCATCATTGGATTCCTTTCATCCCAGAACAGCTGCCTTTAATCAGTTCAAATCCATGGTTAGATTCACACTAGAATCCATTCATATTGAAACCGAAATGAACTGTTGCACAGATTCGTCTGAACTGAAAGGCATCAGATTGCTAAAAGCTCAGTTAGTCCAGCACTCTGTTCATACCAGCCCTATGGACAGCCAGTGCAGCAGAACGGGCATCTTTCCCCTCCCTTCCGTATTCCTCAGCCAGTGATAAACAGGCACACTCCTTTGATGGTGGAAGGGGATGTATAACCATCCTAACTAGGAGCCATGGATGGCTCTGATGTCTGTTAAATCCCCATTTAAAGTTCTCCAAGTTGGTGGCCATTACAGCTTCTGGTGTTTGTGAGTTCCACAGCATCGCATGAACAGGTTCTTCTTTTTATGTGTCCTAAATCTGAATTTGACCCTGATTTCTTGTGTTATTAAAGAAGGGAGAAGAGCTTTTTCTTACCTACTTTCTCCACAGCATGTGCAACTTTATGCACCTCCATTGTGTTTTCTTTTTTAACTTGTCTGTTTTCAAAGCTAAACAGACCTGTATAGTGTAACCTTTCTTGACTGAGGAGTTTAATTCCTTTCACTGGTTGATTGCCCGTTTCTGGATCTGCAGTATGTTTTTCAGAAAATGAAAAATAAAAACTGTTTCTTTAGCTGTATATAAAAATGTCATGCCTTTGAAAATGGAAGAATAGAGATCTAGGGGAGGTACAAATCCATATGAATTATGTGAAGGAGAAAGACAAAGAGTCCATGAATCAGGAGGAGATGGTCCTTTCTTCCCCATGTGTGCCTTGATTTTTTGCTCTCTCTTTTTTTCCCCCACAGCTGTGTTTGGAGCATTTTGAGCTTCAGCCCCCAGTGACCTTCCGCCTGTGCTCAGGATCTGGCCCTGTCCACCTTGCAGGACAACACCAAATCTGTAAGAAGCTCTGGCTGGGATTTCAGGAGCTCTTGGGGAGGGTGCCTGAGAAAGTAAAAGAAAGGAAGAGGCAGCTATTTCCTGTCAAGGAGGGATGTGCAGTGGAATAGACAACATTAAATAATATACATATGTATGCCACCTTCTTTGTTGGATGTGTGACCTCTGACTGCTTTGTCCCACATTCCCTTCATGGCTGAGGTAGTATCGTTTAGTCACCTGTAAGTGGGAAGGAGGGCTTGATGGCACTCAAGTGCAGGCGGGTACAGAGCAGGTAGCCTTGCCTGCGCACTATTTGGAATGAGTCCGGAAGGTAAAGCAGTTCGGCACTTTGCTGACAGGAGGCAGTCCCATCCCCTGAGACCTGCCTTCTCTGCAAGGACTGGGACTGCATGGTAGGGAGTGGATGGTGGCTTAAGCAACTGTTCTGGCTGTATCTCAGTTCACAGAAGGGATCCCTCAGAGTCCAGTGAGGAGGATGTTAGCGAGGAAGATGCATCCATAGAAGAGGAGGAGGAGTTCTCCCCTATCAAGCCTGCCAAGAAACAGCGCAAGTGTTAGCTATCCTTCGTGGAGGTAGGTCTTGGTGGAGACGACTGAGCAGCTTGAAATGTAAGAGGAGACCCCTCTCTTCCCCCCCCCGGTCTCAGAAGTTTTACTTTTTCAAATATGTAATTAAAGCAAGTAGTGCTTCCAAGTTCTGACACTTGCTACAAGTGAAGCATGCTTTCAGCCTTCGATTCCTAGAAGTAGGTTTGCCACAGCCGATAGAACTTGGTGGCCACTTCCCTCTGTTCATTCCAGGAGCGCATGCACACACACACACACAGATGTGGCGTTGAGGGCTAGGGAGACATTCCGTCAGCCTTCGATTCCTAGAAGTAGGTTTGCTGCAGCCGATAGAAATTGGTGGCCACTTCCCTCTCTTCATTCCAGGAGCGCGTGCACACACACACACACAGACATGTGGCGTTGAGGGTTAGGGAGACATTCCATGGCTGTGATTCTTTCTGCTCTGCTGCCCTCCTCACCCACCCAGGCTTCAGCACTCAAGAGCCTTCTGTGGCATCCTTGGTTGCTGCAGCAAGTACGCCCCTCATTTGCAGTGGCAACCGTGGCTGTTTTAAAAACAGAGAAAGTCTGGTAGCACATTTTAGATTAATAGATTTATGATTACAAAAACTGTTGTGAGTTACAGTCTCCTTCTTTAGATGTGTGGCATAGAATCTTAAGAGGTTCAGCTATATATAGGGCCCATGGCTGGTGCTTCGAGCAAAGTTAGATATTAGGAAGTGCTGGCACCAAAACTATTGGTGATATCAGAAGCACCTCATCAGTAAGTATTACAGTTAACACATATGAAATCCTGTTCAAAATTGGTGTAACGTAAAGTTATGCCTGTGGAAGCATGTGGGGTGTTACGCCCAGGCAGCCAGCATTGCTCAGTCAGCGGCCTCTTTCCATATTGTGACTCTTGTGCAGCATAGCTGCAGAAGTGCTTTGTGAATATCACTTCTGCCTTGGTTTCTGCTGTTTCCACAGCTTTGTATTACAGACCCATTGCTGTGTGGCACCCGGCTTCAGTCCTAGCATTTTAAGCATATGTTATCTCATAGAACAGGTGTAGGTGGCTTTTGGGAAGTTGGTAAGCCAACTTTCTTCTGTCCTCAGGACCTGTTAGGAACTGCGGTGCCACTGAAAATGAAAATGGGCAAAGAATTCCAAGCCAGAAAAGGAACAGGCGCCTATTTCTGGTTTTGCTTATGCAGGGGGAGTTTGCCCTCCGCACCCATTTTCATTGTTAAACGACTAGCCTTGGAGGCTTTCAAGAATCATAGAATTACAGAGTTGGAAGAGACCAGAGGGGCCATCGATTCCAACCCTCTGCCATGCAGAAACTCCCATCAAAGCACTCCCAACAGGAAGTGCCAAAAAAACTCCTTTTGGTAGGGGGTCCATGGATGCATTTTGGCCTCTCTACAATAACAAACATCTGCTGACCAGATTATTATCACTGTGATCTGCCTCTGAGATTCCTTCAAATGGTAGGACTTTGGCAACTCTGCTCATTGGTTTTCTGTTCTTGGCTACAGGATGAGCCATCTCTGTGTGACTACCGCTGTAATGGAGACAGGTGGGTTGGGGAGTGTGTATGGACTTCAATGCCACTAAGTTTTATTGTTCTTTTTCTTCTTAATGGTTTCTGTAATTCCCACTAATGGCATTTTCTGTACCTGTGCAGAGGTCCTTGGAGACTTCCAGAGCCAAGAAAGGTGCTAGCTCCACCCTCACACAACGTTCATTCCTCCACCCAGCCGTTAGCTCCCAGTTCCATTTTGATTGCCACTGAAGCCGTATCTTATGGTCATCCAGAGCCTACTTACTGTAAATAATTCTCATTTTTCCTTCCCCATTAATACTTCATTATTCTTCCTAAACTATAAAAGAGGGTTTCACCATATAGCTAAAAAAGAATAGGGTTGTTGTTTTTTTGTCATTCCTTCCTTCTGTGGCCCCATGCAAAAAGTGTGATTTGGTGGTGATGATGGAAATTCTGCTAACTGACAGACACTCCCAAGTGCCTGCACTGTTTAGGGAAGGGGCACCAAATGCAGGCCTGTCACATTTGCAAAAAATTAATAGAGGTCACAGTAGAGAACAAACAACCTAGATTAAAATGATATCTTTGAGAAGGGTCACTCTAAGCGGTTGACACAATCTTCAGGGAGACTCCAACATCATTTATTTTTATCTGTAAGATCTCCTCTAAATCAGTCATCGTAGAGTCCATTCAGACTGAAGTTAGAGTTCCTGATAACCTGCAATAAAACTAACAGCGTAGAGGCTTTCATAAAAAGGATCCTGCTCAAAGCTAGAAAACCATCTACGTGAAAAGTTTCAGATATAAATGGAATAAGTTCATCTCCTTTGCAACATTGCTGGAAGAACATTGCAGTCCTCCATTACTGCACACAGTCCTTCATTTTCTTTTCCGTATGAAGGAAAAAGGACTTTCACATTCCTCCCTCAAAGGTCTACTTCCCTGCTGTAGTGGTGAACCGGATGGCAGTTCCCCAGCAGCATGATTCTTCATGTACGAGACAGTAAAGAGATTCCTAAAAGGCCTATGGAATCAATACCCCAATATTAAAACACTGTTACCTCAATGGTCGTTACTGCTGGTGCTTAATCAGATGATGAAACCACTTTCAAACCTATGGCTATCTGCATTCTATATTTATTTACATACAAGACAATATTTCTCGTCACTGTTACATCAACCAGGTAGGCAGGTGAGCTGAGCACATTATACTGTGAAATGCCCCTTTCTTGCATTTCTTTAAAGATAAGGTGGTCCTAGCAATAGATATGTCTTTTTCCCTAAAGTTGTGACATACTTTCACGTTCACCAATATCTGCTGTCGCCAACCTTTTTTTTTCAGTCTCTACCACAGACTTAGAAAGATCACTACACACAGTAGATGTCTTCCAGAACCAAGGCTTTTCAGAAGACTAGAAAGTTGTCTCCTGCTAAGAAAGAACAGCAATCGCGTATTCTCGCAATTGATATCCAAGTTCATGTCATCACTATCTAACCAGCTGGCATGAACCTTTGCCTGAGTCATTCCACCAGAGTCCTAGCTGCCTCTACTCCATGAAAAGAGTATAGATGATGGCCATTTGTAAGGCAGCTACATGGTCTCAGCTCATGTTGTTGTTCCTCAAGCATTACTGTATAAACTGGACATCTGAGACAGGAGTGATGCATCAGTTGTTCAAGCAGTAATTTCATCACACAACCTCCCTTTTGCCATGCATTGTGTTTGACTCAGCCGTGGACATGGGAACAGAGAAATAGCCATTGAATGGAGGAATAGGCACTGGTTGTCAGGTTGAGGCTATTAGCTTTCTAGGCTCTGGAAGATTCCAAGGACATCTGCTCAGGCACCGCACGACCCCTTAGTGTGAATTCACAGATGACCACTCAAAAGAACTAGAGTACAGGAAAGTAACTCTTCTTTCTTCCTGCCAGGTCCTGCAAATGTCATTTTTCCTGAAATGGAGTGGTCATGGTTTGGCAGATGACTTTATTGAAAATTTTGCTTGTGTTCTCAGTCTGTAACTGATGACTTTTGACTGTAACAGGTGCTCTTGATTTTGAGTTGAAACTGGTGTTTGAGGAATCAGCAGAAACCTACAAGCCATGTTTTTGAGGACACCGTTCCCTTTCATCCTGGGAAAAGTGATGGTTGCTCTGCTGATCATCTTTTCAGGGTGCTTAGAAAACTACCAAGCAGAGTTTACTTTTTTATATATAAATATAGATGTTATTTTCTTATTGTGTTAACCGACTGAGAAAAATCTTTATTATGTAGGCCTTTTTTAAAGAAAACATTGTTTACAACTTCCTGCTGTGACAGTGAAAGCAAAGTGCGGTGCTTAGAAAACTACCAAGCAGAGTTTACTTTTTTATATATAAATATAGATGTTATTTTCTTATTGTGTTAACCGACTGAGAAAAATCTTTATTATGTAGGCCTTTTTAAAAAACATTGTTACAACTTCCTGCTGTGACAGCGAAAGCAAAGTGTATGTTTCTGAGGCCACCTTTTTAACAGTGTGACCTGTTTAGAAATAAAAATGTTTCTAATATTACGTGGGGTGCTCGTTTTTTGTTTTTATGTTTTGTTTTCAACAGGAGGTGAAATCTTCAGAGTAACTCTAGAATAATGTTGCTGCACTTTCCACATACAGAACTTTACATTCTTCCCTCCCCTCCCACCAACCTGTTAACAGTTTGGGAAGGAGCAGCTGCTGCTCCCAGAGGTGTGGTGCATGTGATTGATCTCTCTCTCTCCCCTCCCCTCCCCCTTTCCTGTGGAAGGAGCAGCATCACCAAGAGGTACTGATGCCAGCATCGCTGGTTTCTGATTCCAAAGGGTTTGTCTTTGATTTTAAATGATTGGAAATCTCCCTCTCTTTGTTTATATTTTTCTTCGTTTGTACCCAATTGATAAAGGATACATAGAACATAAAATTAGTAAGTGGATGGAAATACATGAAAACTGATAGGTACATTAGTTATATGTGAGGAGTTAAGTACGATACTAGGAGTTTTATGCCAGTAGAATTAATTACTAAGGTTCCATGTCATTTTTCTCAAATTCTTCTGGGCTGCTCACTGAAGCCTCCTTCAGGTACGTTTTATGCCAGTAGAATTAATTACTAAGGTCCCATGTCATTTTTCTCAAATTCTTCTGGTATATTCTAATGAGAGGTCTGCAGATACGGTGAAGGGTGCATGGTTGATAAGCCCTTGATTTCTCCGTGTCTTCTCCAGAGAAGATCTGTGAGGGAGGAAAACGCTCACTCGCCGTTTCCATGAGACCGGAGCTCCAGAAAGCCAAGGTTCCTGGTCATGTGCAGCTGAGTAACTGCATGCAGCGGGATGCACTTGCACACACCTTGCTAGCCTTTCTCTCAGGGAGAGGCAGGTGGGTCAGGGTGGGATCCCCAGCTCCTCCACATGTACAGCAAAGCTGTACGGGAAGCCTCTGAATAAGGGCTTCGCCCTCCTTGAGATCCCCTTTAAGGCAGAATGACTCCTTCACCCCAGTTAGGGGAAAGGAACGCAACTTGGAGACGTTAGTTTTTCAGACCAGCATTCTGGCTGAGGATTCTGGGTAGAGATGGGCAAGACCTGCTTTGTCATCACAAGTTGTGCCTTCCTTTCCCTCCCAGCTGCTCCCCCCCTCACCAGCTGGCAAGCACTGCTCACCTCCTGCTCTTAGCGCAGCTGTCCAGCTGCAGCAGGAACCCGGACCACCTTTCCCCACTTCCTCCAGCAGCAGTTCACTCAGGTGAGGAGGTGGGGCGGGGATTGCTGCAACGCTGCTTGGAGGAGGTGTGAAGGAAAAGTCTGCTCCTGTTGCAACTGGGTGGTTGTGCAAAGAGCAGGAGCCGAGCATAGTGCCCCCGCTGGTGAGTGGGGAAGCCAGCCAGAGTGGGTAGAGGAAGGAAACATGCCAACAACTTGCCATGATGTGACACGAAGCGGGTCATGCCCATCTCTAATTCCGGGACTTGTACAGCTAACTCTTTCAGGTTCTCGCATGCAGATATTCTTTGCAAAGAGATTGCTTCACTGCTCATTGCTGCCTAAAGGTACCAGAACCCCAAGCTTTCAGAAACTCTGCAGCGGACATGAATTTATCCCTTCTACTCGAATATAAATCCACCATTAAATAACTAGCAGTTCATGATGGCTTGCTGTAGTCCTCTGGGTAGATGTGTTCAGTGGTACATAGCTTTTAGAGACAGCTGTGGCCTCATCCAAGTAGGAGATTGCTTCAACTCCTTGTGTAATGGTTGACTTGGGGGAGTTTCAGGAACAGCTGGCTTTCTGAAGAAATGGAGGCCAACAAGCTGAAGAATATAGCCTTTGCCCTTTCTTGAACACCTGGAAGGATTTTGTGAAACCAGGTTCTGTGTTCAGCCAACAGATGGCAGTCTTGTTAGCATGGCCAGAACCCAAAGCCCTCTGATTCAAGCCTCTGCTAAAATTCTTGAAGGGAAGAGGACCTAGATATAAGTATCTGGGGGTGCTAAAATTCTTGAAGGGAAGAGGACCTACGTAGGTATAAGTATCTGGGGGAAGCACATGCCATCATTCTGCTTGTCCAATAATGACAACAGTACAGCACTGGTGCAAATTGTATTAAAAAACATAAATTGCTGTGAATGACAGAGATCATCTCCCACATCTTTCACTGCTCTAACTGGGATAGTGTTGTCAACCGGTGTGTGAGAGAGAGGGATTTGGCACATATGGGCCACAACTAGAGAGAAGAACAGGATTAGAAGGTCATGCAGAGGCAAAGGGTTCTCTCGGGGTGCTGCTATCAAAATGGATCAAATGCCTTTTGCAAACAAACTTGTCTGCGAGGAGAACTTGCTGCCCCAGGTTTCTTTGAGTAAGACCTTTCACGACAAGGGGCTGTTCATTTGTTTTTCCCAGGCAAAGAGGGGCAAGGTGTTGTGTGTATGCTCCCTTTTTGCTGAGACTTAAAAACAGAAAAGAGAACCAAAGTAAATGTACCATGAGCACAGAGAACTTGGTGAGAGCTCACATCATGGACAGTAAAGGCAACCAACCCATGGAGGATTTAATGGGTCATTGGAAGGGATTTGTCTCCTTTGACTTTGGGGAGCTGCTGTATGGATTCTGGTAGTGATGATTTTTGCTTTTTTTAAAAATAGCATTGATATTCAGTGAGGATGCAACGGTAGCCAGAATAAAGTTAGATGCTGGACTCTTATAGTTGGAATCAAGCAATCTGGGGAACCTGCCCTAAACCTCTGTCCTTTTAAAAGATTGGAGATTATGCTTTGAGAAAACAGGTAGAACAAGAGCCCAGCTCCCGAATTTTGCAGTAGGACTCTCCTTTTCGGCCAAGGGTATGAAGAATTGATGCAGGCAGGAAGGGATGAGTTTGTCAGCATTTGGGACATGCAGCACAAATTCCCCAACCTTGAAAGGCTGCAGGCAAAGACAGCCTCCCATATTAAATCCCAAATTCCTTAGTCGGAATAGATAAAGCCAATGAGATATGTAAACGAGTGCATGCCTGGGGATTTTTGGCTCTTAGTTAGCAAGGAGAGCCCAAGAACAACTCAGTGTGAGAACAAGGGCAAAGGGACTTTGCCTGATGGGGGAAAGTCAGATAATTCACACACACACGTGATGCTCTTATTTCTAAATTCTTCTTGCTCTCTGCAAAACTCTTTAACATTTGTAAGAGCCAGTTTTTACCTCCATTTGCTTTTAGTTTTGCCATGAGGCTCTCTCCTGGGAGAAATACAGGGTGTATGTCAAATAACTAAACAGTTTTTCCCCACAATTTTTCCATTACGTATTTACTTTTCTGAAACATATTGTTAATGTATATTTTATGGTAACATTGTATGTCAAATACAGCCATCTGGGAAGAGGCAAGAATTGATCATTAATCTGTGGGTAGAGACCTTGCCCCTCTTTCTGATTGGATGGTCAAATTCCATGCATTTCTGGCGGGGAACACTACCTGGCTTTGATCTGACCACATGCAATGCAAGAGGCTGATTCTGTGAGAAAGGGAGAGAAGGATTTTCCCTAGACTGTGGAAAGGAGGGGGCTAAGTTATCTCAAAATCTGTCCTGCCATACTTAAAGGTCAATTGGAGGGTTTATCTTTGCCAGTTTATTTGATACTTGTAGCTTGTTCTCGGTATTATTTGTTTGTCCCCTTTTCACAAATTTCCTGCTCTTGTGAAAACAGGATGCATACAGAATTATAAATGTGGAAGCTCCATCCATCATTCTGGTACTCCTTGGTGCTTCACTGTCAGGCGTATCCATATCAAGTACATGTTCC